TTTTATTACATACCATCTATGAAAATTCTATAAAGCTTTACATAAGCCGAATATCTCGAAAAGTATTAATGATAGCGATTTGACTCTAGACCTTTTTTATAGCAAATAAAGTTTGTCATGAACATTTTTTCCATAGCTCTAGTCATTTACGAGATATATACAAAAAATGCGAATAGCGCGAAAAAATCAGGTTTAGAGCTCCGTACTACCTCGCCGGTGTAAGCTTCGACTTAGTCGCAATAAACACTTTTGTAGAGTGTTCAATTCTGAAGAATATGTGTGTAAAGTCAAAGCGATGCCATAAAATTAACTATAGAACTTTAAAGGTAAAAATCACGATTGTTGTGTATTTTCAATGGAAAATTTTTACATACCTTGGGCCAGTCCTTAATGTTAATATTAATGGCTCGAATTTTCAAGGAATTTTTTTTAGGGTATTTCCATGGAAATTTCTTGATGGGAGTTAAAAACTAGAGTAGTTCAAAAAAACCCTAATATACATATATGATCACAGTAGAAAAATTCATCAAACACACACTGTGATATATTTCTTATAGCAAGTATACATATGTGTTTCTAAACATAACTTTTAAATGAAAAAAAAATTCCCCTCCAAATGTCGCGGGTAAAATTGCGGATTAAGGTTATTAGGAAACACGATTTGATTGCGTCTTTTTTAATAATTATTCACCAAAGAAACCTGCAGTTGCACACAATGGCACATAACATTTTCTAATTAAAATTCCATAGAAATGAATCAATTATTTTAACCGTCTGAACAAATAATGTCATTACGACCACTACAGCATATATCCATATACTGAAGCAATATTAATGTTGCCATGAACTAACTAAAAACTAACCGAAACCAAACTTGGGCCATTAAAAATAAGCAGATCTAAGAGCCATGACAAGTGCGCTTCACCGACGCTTATGCTGATTTACCAATAACACGTCGGCCAGCAACAACAGCAAATCGAATTTCTCAAAATTTCTCTACTTGAAAATGCCAAGATGCAATAACTATGAAAATTCAAATGAAATGGCTTATTGTCCAACGGAAATCTAACTGTGCTTTTGCTATTATTGTTGTTACGTTTATTACTGTAATTCTTTAATAGGTAATACAAACTGTCTAGGTGCTTTCAGCCTGATTGACGTTGGCACTGCCAGTCAAGTAGGTTGATTGGCTGCCTACTATGGCTTCGCCGAAGAACATTCAAAATTATTGACCAAAAGCTTAAAATATTTATGTACAAGTATTAGTAGCATATACATACATATATAATGTACACGTGTACCTAGTACCAGTGCACACTTGAGACTGTAGATAAGAGTGAAGGTCGCCTGTGGTTAATCGCTGCTATAATTTGCCAAAGCCATAACAATCACAGCTTGAAAAGTGCTTGAGAGATTGTTCGATAACTATAATAATAGACACTGAAGAGGGGTGGAGTGTTTGGAGAGACTGTCAGTGGTTTGAGGCATGGCACAAACAATAATAATGAAAAGAACAATGTTAGCGAAAACTTGGACGCTACTGAGCTTAAATTACCAGCATATATTTGCTGTTGCACTCATCATACTTACAAGCTGTGGTGATTTTTAGTTATTAAAGTGGGAAATAGAGTTAGAACAGTATTTTTATATCCTGAGCAAGTTTGAACTACGAAGTCTGTTTGTATATACACAAACTACTCACTCAGCTTTTGAGATATCGGTCTGAAACTTTACCCACTACCTTTTCTCTCTAATAAGTTTATCGGATTCACTGATATCGGATTACTATTGGATATAGCGGCCATACAAACTGATCGTTCAAAATCGAGTTCTTGTATGAAAAACTTTTTTACTTAACAAGATATCTCCTCGAAATTTTCTATGGATTATTTTCCAAAGTAACTCTATAATATTTGTGGAATTTGTTAAAATCCGAGCACTATATCATATAGCTGTCATACAAGCGGAGCTATCATATTCAAGTCCTTATATGTAAGACTTTTTCAATTGTACAGATATCCGCAGGAAATTGGGCACAAATCATTTCCCAAGTCCACGCTATAATCTCCGAATGTAATGTTCAAATCCCATTACTATATCATATTTTTTATTAGCAAATCTATCTTTACGAAATTTTCCATAAATTATTTTCCAATGCAGCGCTATCCTATTTGCGGAATTTGTTAAGATCCGAGCACTACATCATATAGTGTCATACAAACTGACCCATCAAAATAATGTCCTTGTATGGACAACTTTTTCATTTGTCAAGATAATTTCACAAAATCTAGCATAGAGCCTTATTCAAGGCAGCTCTACAGTCTCGGCATATATTTTTCAGATCGGCCTAATATAGCATATAGCTGCTATATAAACTGACCGTTCAAAATCATGTCTTTCTCTGAAGAACTTTTCTATTTGAAAATATATGTATCGCGAATTTTTAAAACATCTAACCCTAAATCCCCACCCTAGAGTTTAGAAGGTATTTTGTAGTTTTGTAAAGGAATTTTCGCGCTTCAATGAGCTTAAATTTTTGTATATGTACAACAACAGACTGTATATGTTAGTACTGGCAAGAATTATTGTTTGCAGTTATGTTAACCTTGTGAATTTGTAAATGAGTAGTCGTAAATACGAATAGCTTTGCTCCATTTTGTAACGGAAGTGCAACGCCCAATTGTTAGTTTCGTGTTGTTTCCGTTCATTGTCGTTACTCACCAGCAGGCCACCGCCAGGCTTGGCGAACAAAACATTGTTATTACTTAACCGGCATTGTACACAGTTATAAATGTGCGTCCAGCCCAAATCGCACCTAAGCTGTCAGTTTACCACACACATACAGGCGCACACTTGTACACTATATTTGCATACATATGTGTGTGTGTGTCAAATCATGTCTATTTGCCCATGGACTCGTGTACAGGTTGTGCATTTAGCTTACATTTTAGCTTCATTACCAACATATTTTAGCAGTTTACAGTTTTCCTTAACCTTTGACGGACTTCGTTGGCTTATCATTTTGCGACTGACAATGTTTCTGAGAAGCTTAGCACGATTGCGCTGCAACATTTTACCTTAAAAGCATTTGCATATGCTATTTTATTAAGCGCACTCATGGCATCAGCTATTCTGTTGGACTAAGCAAATATTGTCTGCATATATTATTTTAGCATGCCAATAGGAAACATTAATAATAAACATTTTCATTATAAAAAATATATATTTATTATTTTGTTTAAATGAATATTTATTTAAATTCATTTTTTGTTATTTAAAGCATTTTTGGCAAATTTTATAAAAGAAAAATATTTTTAAAAAATTCAAAAATTTCCTACATGGCACTTGAGAAAGCGCACTGGTCAGTTACTTCCACTAAAAGATTGCATAAAATCGTACACTGCACTCACACTTGCATACTTAGGAAGTGAAATTTATATTTGAGTACACGTATGCAAATGCATTTGCTTATAAATATTTAAGAGCTCAGCAGTTTTTTGCCAATTTCACAAATTCGTCGGAAAGTGCATACCTTCGGGAAATATATAAATATATACTCTATCGGATTTGGCGAATTCAGACTAACTTGGCAGTCATAGATGTGCCTAAACCTGTGCGCATGTATAGTTTATACTCTTATGATGAATTATTCAAATAAAATATTACTCATACGCAGTGGTATCCATTTAGTTGCATTTCTAATATAGTGATGATTGACTACCGGTTCTAAACTCAAAGTGGCAAATTAAATTTGTATGGAAATATTAATGGTATTAGGTCAATATAAGAAACATCTTCTTTCCTTCCTCCCCTTTAATAACCTACAAGCCTTCTAAATGCCATAAGTTTCTACAATGTAGCTGTCGGATGATCCGGCCAAGTGAGAGTATCCAGAAAAGGTATCTTTAAGTAAAAAGTCAACCATAAAAGATTGCATAACAAGTGCTCTAAACTACTGGACTACTGCGGTTTACAAATGACCACCCGTGCATATGAGCCATGTATAGTAGCCAAAGCCGTAACGCCTTCTCCTGTAAACTGATGTCTCATATATGTATACTATGGAAAAAACTAAAAAATCAAAATATCTCACCTTCAAGTATATCTGAGCTCAGTGTGTGCAACATATTTATTTATTTATTATTTTATTTTGTATTAAAATTGTATAGAAACTGATGCTTATAGGAACAATCCTTGAAATTACCTTTCTTACAAAGGTTCCGAATGACGACCGTGATTCACGCATTATTATGCTATAGATGAGATAATTTTGCACTATGTTTCTTTTAATTAAAAATTGTTTTGAAACCCCTAACTTATGCCTGAAAAATTTATTAAATTTTTTGAAAATCAAGATTTGTCTAATCCCTACGCTAGTTTAGTGGAGTTCAGTTGTCAAGTCCGAGATGGGTAGTGATCATTCAGGATACCTGCGGTTAATTCAAATTTTAACGAACTCTGCGACCTCACTATTGATACCTCGACCAGTGTATAATATCGTGGAGACTTCAGATGCTTACATCTTGCCAATGCGGAACAGCGTACAAGAGATGTTTCCTTGATGCCGTGCTCTAGACATTTCCTGCAGTCTTCTCGATCTGTCTGTCCAATTCTGATGGCGTGTGCCCCCATCAACAGTGAGCAGTTAGTATTCAGTCTCTTCTATATAGTGCCAAACGAATTTTGTATACTTCCGATCTACCGTTTTGCACATGACTGCAGGTGCATTAGAGGCTAACTCCGCGGCTTTCGCAATATATACAGCAGTGGTCTGACAACTTGAAACTTTGCCTTTGTTTAATTTAAATATTTAATCGACACTCTAATAGAGCACTATAAAAGCGGCACAAAATCACCATGACATTCCAAAAACATATAAATAAGTACATACAAAAAATATATAATTCTTAATATATTCCATACTAATAATGAGCACAAAATTTCATTAAAAAGCGTGGCCCAATATTTATGTTTTCAATTTATTCTCTTATTTCTTTCAGATACACCTGCATATATAATCGCTAACATACATACACCCAGATATATACATATATATATATATATATATCTATTGATTTGAATGTCATCATTAAGTGCTATCCACATTGATAAGCTGCCAAAAATTATAATACGCTCCGTTGTGATAAATAAATGCTAGAAGGCGATATAGTATGAAAAGTTGACTGACAGCGCATTCAACGGACAGACGTCTACATACACATACATAGATACGAGTACGAGTAGAAGTTAGAGGAACTCAATAAGCTGTGATTAAAGGAACAAAAGACATGAGGCGTGGCCGCTGCTCAACACAAATAAGTAGTTGCAAAGTGGATAATACCGTTATTACACCTGCGTATTTGGGTGTTGGAAACGCATTTGAATTGGGATCCAAAACAGTAGCAAATATATAATTTGCATCAATTTTGAAGCAGTAACCGTAGCGAAGTGAAAAAATTCATTCATTTGAAATTGTGAGACTATAATAACAAAATTGATGCAATGTAGCGGTAAGTTTACTTTGCTTGAATTTATTATTGATTTCTTGTCTGCGTATATTACCTTTGTGAGAAGTATTATCTATATATGTATACTATACTTCAACTCTTTGGATTCACCCTTCTACCAAGACATATGTTTTTTACTAACTAGTAACAAGTGTAAAATTATATTATCATGATATTACATCTCTCTTCTGAACGAAAATATAACAAGAACAAGAAAAAACGTTAACTTCGGCTGCACCGAAGCTAATATACGCTTCACAGGTGCATTTCTTTTAGTAAATATGTGTCCAGCTTATACGGAAGCTATGTGCTATAGTAACCCGATCTGAACAATTGTGTCGGAGATTATATTATTACCTTAAGCAGTATTCCATGTCAAATTTCGTGAAGATACCAAGTTAAATGCGCAAGTTTCCCATACAAGCCCTTGATAGCCCGATCGTTCGGTTTGTATGGCAACGGTATGCTATAGTGAGCCGATCTGAACAATTTCTTCCACAATTACATTATTTCTACGAACAATAACTCATACTAAATTTCGTGAATATATCTTGTTATTTGTTGACGAAGCCATTCAGCCAGAAATGAGCCTCAACACTGAAGATGATTTTTCAATGAAATTTCGGATAATTTTCAAGTTGTTGCTCAGAACAATTCACGACACTACGAGTACTTCTTTGTCTCACTGGCACGGGAGAATTTTGTACTGTGCCTATGGATTTTCCACTAGAACTTAATTATTGATTTGACAGGATGATTATGACGATCATAAATTGGCTCTTAAAGTTAAGGCCACTGGCTCGGAATTTCGGTAGTAAATTTTAATAGTTTCGACTCGTTGTTGGATTGTACAGGGTTTGTCCGGAAAGTGATAGGACTTACTTTCTTCCGCCGCGACTGTACTTCGGAGCGTGCGTTCGGTAGAGGGCGTTCCTAACTAAGTAACGGACGGCGTGTTTCTTTGAGTGGTACAAACCGAAAATGCAGTGTTCTTACAGGCAGAGCTACGCGATTAAACTGAAACTCGGCGAATCTGCGACAGAGATGTTTGATATGATCAAGCAGCCTTACCCAGAGGTCGCTGATGAATGAGAAAATCCAAAACGTCAAGAGACTCGGAAAAATATGGCGTCGTTTGCTGTCCCTTGGGTATACTTTTGTAGGGTCCCCTATTAGAACTTCGATACTTCTTTCTGTGTGTTACCAACCTAATACACCCTCAAAATGTGCTCACTGTTAAATGAGTTAACCCATATGCCAAATCCTCGACAAGTCTTTCTTCAAATACTAACAAGTAACTTGAAACTCGATCCAGAGACACTTCAAGTGGAATATTATGCTATAAATGTAAAACAAATACGGTAAAAGAAATTTCAGTACCTCCAGTTTTTTTTATAACACATTAATAACGGCAGGATCCGGACATGAAACATAGCCGAAACCAATCTGATTCTTGGAGACAAAGCCATTTCCAAATATATGTATTACTGTTAATAACGTCTAGAGCAGTGCGTTGGGCAACCGATATCTGGTACCCGGGTTCTGCTGCTGCTGATTCCCCTCGATATTAAGGAAGGAAGCGGTTCCTTATAAAACTCTAATTCGCTACCGCTGCCCTTCAAATCCATTAACCTTAACCTTACATTACTTTAGACAATCGCTTTCATATTAACCCATTTCGAGAAATGAGCACAGATATTCACTCCTATATACAAAAATATTCCATACATAAACATCTAACGGGAACTTTATGAGAATTTTTGCAATATTTCTTACAGTGGCGGACTTATGGTCGGCGAACGCGATAGAGACCGTGATACGGTACGCTGGGAAACGGGTGATGCAACACCGCCCCAATTTAATAATGGAGGTATGCAAATGGTCGGACAATTGCATGGTGGACAGGCTGCTAGCCAACAACAACAACAGCAACAGCAAAAATTGCAACAGTCTCAGCGTGATCTACAGCTACAACAACAACAACAATTACAATTGCAGCAGCAGCAGCAGCAACAACAGCAATTATTGCAACAGCAACAACAACAGCAGACCAGTAACTGGATTGAAGCCGAAACGCTTGGGCGCAACCCGGCAACTGGATCGACCGGTGCCATTGGCAACATTGGTCACATCCAAGCGCAGGGTTACGGCATCGGTGTCGGCATCGGAGTCGACGTCACACACGAGCCGAGCGACAACAACGATAATCAAGCCTACTACGATCCAAGCGGTAATGTCGATTGGGGCCGAGCGATGGGAACCGGTGGAGCTAGTTCATTTGGTTGCGGCACTGGAGCTGTCCCAACAACTGGCAATCTTACTTATAACAATGACACAGCTGCTGCTGCGACAGCCGGCATCAATATCAGTCAACGCAATCTCAACAATATCGCCGGCGGCGGCAGCGGCGGCGGCGGAGGTGTCGGCAGCATTGGAAACCTGGACTATGCTGATGGCGGCAGCATTACTGGCGCATCCGCCACAACCACGCACACTGCCGGCGGTCCTATGGGCAATGGCGGTATCGGCGGTGTCGGCGGCATGGTCGGCGCTGGTAGTCAAAATATCGTCGGCATTAGCGGTGCCAGCACCGGTGCTGGCAGTACCGGCGCTGTTGGCAAAGAAGTACGATATGCACCATTCCCGATACCATCACCGACACATTCGAATCCGACAACTTCCCATCTGCACGGCAGCATGGGTGCGGGCGCATTGCAACGCGCACATTCCAGATCCATGTCCTCCATACCACCACCCGAACCCTTTATGATAGCGCAATCGAAACAAATGAATAGTCGCGTCTCCATCAATGTTGGCGGCGTTAAACATGAGGTGCTCTGGCGTACGCTCGAACGACTGCCGCACACACGTTTAGGACGTTTACGTGAATGTACCACACACGAAGCGATTATTGAGCTATGTGATGATTATTCAATCGTCGACAACGAGTACTTCTTCGATCGGCATCCGAAAAGTTTTAGTTCCATATTAAATTTCTATCGCACTGGCAAATTGCACATCGTCGACGAGATGTGCGTACTGGCATTTAGTGATGATCTCGAGTACTGGGGAGTTGATGAGCTGTATCTGGAGTCCTGCTGTCAGCACAAGTACCATCAGCGCAAAGAGAACGTACACGAGGAAATGCGCAAAGAGGCTGAGTCGTTGCGTCAACGCGACGAGGAGGAGTTCGGCGAAGGCAAATGCGCCGAATATCAAAAGTACTTGTGGGAGCTACTCGAGAAACCGAACACCAGCTTCGCTGCGCGGGTAAGTTAAAGAGCTCTGGTAACAGCGCCAATTTTTTCAATCTACCATTTATATTTACATATATATATTTTGAAACCTACGTATGTATTTCTCTTCTGACCAAATAATAACCGAATAATATTTAACTACAACTTTAGTAAGTCCCTTTTGGAAGCGAAAATGTTTTTGTTGTTGTCAGTAAATTTCTTATATTCTATTACTTGTATTTCTTATTGCTATTTTTTCAATATTTTATTAAGTTTATTTCTTATTTAATTGTGTTTTGTTCGTTAAGTTTCTCATTTCTTGAATTCCATTGTTTTTCACATAACTTTTAAGCAAAGTCATCGCATTAATTTTTTTAAGTACTTAACATTAACTATATATTCACATATATACATATTCATAAGTCACACTCTTAAGCGATAAATTTATTTGATGTTTAACTGTTTATCTAAAATTTATGACCAATATATTAAATTGGTTCAAACTTTTTACGTTTATTGAAGGGTCTAAGTCGTATCATAAATAAATTCATATGGAAAGTTTAATTTCCCCACACTTTATGCCAAATTAAATAAAACATATTTGAGCGTCTATAAATCGGGTTTTAAAACTTTAAGCTTAAAGTTCTGTAATACAGAGAAGAAGCTATCGAACCAGTAGAAAAAATACAGTAGTCACTAAAACTGATATATAATCAAATTTTCGAAAGGGCTGAGAGACTGGTGAGGGCAAAGTAAAGCACCTTAAAGAGACGCTGTATCGCCAATATCATGTGCAAAAGTCTCAAAGAGAAACACCTTCACTTATACGGTCTCGAAAGGACTGCAGGACGGTTGTTGGCCTAATGATTAGTCACACCCGAATGGCAACACATGCGACCCGGATGGGCATAAGTAAAGACGACACATTCAGAAAATTTAGCGATGAGAGAGGAATGCCTGCTTTGCTTCTGCGGGAACACCTCCTTTGCTTTTGTCCATCATTGGCTAGAACTCATTCATTTTCGCAATTTAGACGACTAGATGAAGTATCAAAATAAGATATCAACTAGCGCTGAAATTTCGCAAAAAGGGCCAACGTCTTGTATAGCGAATACTTTACCTCAATTTAACCTGAGCCTCCAACTGACATTACTAAACAGTACTAATCAGTTACCATGGACTTACGTTGGAAACTGTGAAGCTGATCAGCATGTAAGATAAATTAAAAAAACAAAGACTTCACTGCGACCTTAGGTCTATTTCCTAAACGCCAGCATATTGATGAAGTCCAATTTCCTACTAGGGGCTAGCGAAGCGATGCCATTCCTGTTTGGAAACATGAATCCAAGGGCCTTTATCTTGTGTCTGCAGACTGCTATCCAGTTAGTTAGCAGTTTTTCTGGGGTTTCAGGCTTCCTATCGCAGAACCGACAATAACACTCATTAGCAACTTGTCCTTCTTCCTTGGGGAGCAGTTTCTTTATGGTATAAGGACAACCTCGATAAAGGGTCCAGATCCTACTATGTTAGTGGGTACTGGAGAGCAAGCTCATCAGCCAGTACATTCTCGGCTATGCCTTTCAGCATCTAAGAAAAGGCACTATTGTGTTCTTGTTAGTGGTTAACTCATAATGAGTTGGTTTTTGGTGAGAAAGCCCTTAAGATGGAATGTGTTTGCGTGTAGTATATTACTCAGAACTCAATGAAATCTATTGTTTCAACAATTTTTCCTTAGTTTTAGGGATCCTTACTGGTTAGTATCCACTACTTTTCAATGAAGCGTGACCGTAAATACTTCCATATACTACTATCTCGCTTTTCTGAAACTCATTTTGAACTCATGGGTTTCAGGTCTTCTGCAAACAAAATCAGTTGTCGAATCAGGTTTTGAAGTCAAATCCAATTGCGAGGATCAGCCTTAAGACTAAAAATATCCAACTAATTTTAACCACTGTTGTTGGGTTTGGTACTGCTTTTCCCCTCTACTTCTTTCGCTTTGGTAAAGTGACAATAGTTGCGGTGCTTAAAGCGCCTTTTCATAAAGTTCCACATATAATGGAGTCAACGATAGAAGACTCTCTTATAACTGTCTATATCTACTACTATCTAAATATTACCAATAATAATTAAACTCTATATTAAAGCAAAAAGTTCATTAAAAATACCTAAATCTCTACACTTAAAAGCTTATGCCAATGTCATAAAGCGGCTGACATTCTGAGCTTCATAAAAAAAGAGATAAAAAGGTCTAACAAGTAAACTTCAGACTTAAAAAAGCTTTATATTATTACAAGTAAATCTCACTAAAAGCAACATAAGCTTGCATACGCTATAAAAGCTTGAGTCAATATTTTAAACAGAGTTACCTTCTGAGCCGCATACAATAAAAGTTAGAGATGATATGGTCAAAAAAATTTTCGAAATGTTAAAAAGCTCTATATTATTACAAGAAAAGCTCACTAAAAGCAACTTAAGCTTGAATTTTCTATTAAAGTTTATGCCAATATTTTAAACAGAGGGACCCTCTGAGCAATATATAATAGAGGTCAGCTATTGGAATGAAAAGAAGAAATTTTCGAATTAAATAATACAACTTAGCGCTTTAATAAACCTTAAATAGCTTAAAAATCGATAATTCTACTTCATTAAAACCGAAAGAAATCAAAAACCAACAAATTAATCTTATCGCCTAAGACATTAAAATCCACAATGAACGCTGTAAATTACTGCCTCAGTCATCACAGTCAAATAATCAATCACTTTTATCACTTATTTTACTATTATACGCTGCTTTATGACTACAAAAACAACAAAAAAGTAGTACAAACAACTACAAATAAGTATTCCATGTTTAAGAACGCATTGGACAAGATATACATACATACATGCATAAAATACATGCCTACATGTTGAAATTGATGTTTCTCGGCTTTGTTGTGTTTGTTGTGCGATAAATATGGCAAAACCATTATATAAGTTACTTTTACTATAAACAAAACAAAATGCTAAACTATCGATTTGTTAACTTCTTATTGTCATACTCTTCTAACTATCCATGCTGCAAGATAATTGCCACCATTTTGAAAATTGGCAGAACTCGCAAAAAATGCGCGCTGTAAATAAATGCAAAATGTTTTTTTATCAAATATTTAACTATATGAATATACATATACTATATACTTGCAAGTACCGTTTTAATGGCTGCTCACATTTCCATTACGAATTTTCAACGTTTAATGTTAGTGACGTAAGAGTTGTAGGGTGTCAAGCATACATACATACATGCGTACGTTAGCATATGCGTTGCCATATCTTTTTGAAATGTTCGATATGTGTGTTTCGTTGTTGTTGTGTTTTTACAACGCCAGCCATTTTTTGAATACATACATATATACCATATATATACATATATAATTAAGAGTGTCGTTTACGCGTTGCTTCGGAACTGCTGCTTCATTTGCATTACCGGCTGGAGCGTTTTGCGAAATGCAAATGAGAATTATATATAATTATTTATTATATATAATTATATATGTATGTGTTGTTTTGAAGTCCTCTTTTGATACATATATAAAGTTTCTAACTGTTTGAATATACAAACCTTGCGTTATTTTTAATGTGCTTCAAGTTCTCCCACACACACATTTCTAAATTATTTGCAGATTCTTACTTTTGAACCAACGCAGTGAGGTATTCTCTGCAAAATATTATATTAACGATCGGTATTTGCAAATAAGGAATTGTATAGGAACTTTTCTTACTTAATTGCTGCAATAAATGTTGCTTTGAGGCAAACACCTAAGATCCATTTGTTCTAAACGAATGGCAGCTAACAAGCCTGGAAACCCGCCGCTTAAGAAATTCTCAGTTCTGAACCTACAACTGTACATATGATTTTTCATCATCGTACATTTGCGTATTTTCTGTGTTTTATTTTATTTCTCTCAGTAAATGCTGTCAATTATTTTTAAATTTATTTTTATTTATTTTAAGTTTTAT